TGTGTATTGGCCGGGACACCCGAGAGCCCAGAAGAGAACTAAGGGGCGGGCTGGGGCATTGTTATGGCTCAGACCGACCCCTGAAAGCTTGGCTAGCACATAACTTTTTGATTTTTTTTATCTCTATTTTTTCAACTTTGGTTAAGTTTGATATTTACAGCCGCTCGGCAGGTCTACGGTAGTATCCAAAACTAAACCAAGGTCTGTGTCATGAATGAATAAATATTTAGCAACTGACTATTGTCCTAATCAAAACGAAGTTTCGTTCGATCACTATGACTATACCGTTATTCATGGCTCTATTTCCAATTGACGTAAGAAACGCCATGCAATAACATACCGGGGAAAATAAGGATGTACATTGTAATATATATATTAGGGGCCATTCAGAATTTTCAATGTTTTAAAATTTCGACTATTTTTCCAAATTGTGGGTGGGTGGGTCAAGCTAAATAATTGAAAATCGAAATTCACTTTTCATGGAAAAAAAGATCCAAGTCTTTTGACTTTTGTTTGTTGTCGAAAAGTTGCAAAGAGACAGCTTTTGCCTCCGCCCAGCACTCAGCAGCAATGGATTTTTTTTCCGAAAGGACACGCAACCCGCACAGGCCCGCCAGTGGGATGTAATGATGTACATGCAAGTGCATGTGCATGTACATGTTCATGTACATGTACATGTACATGTACATGTACATTTTTTGTTTTTTAATACTGCGTAACAAATCAGTTTTTTTATCAAACGAAATTAGGGGAGGGGTGGGTGGGTCAAAATAATTTGGAAATAAAGTCGAAATTTTAAAACATTGAAAATTCTGAATGGCCCCTTAGTAGTATTATTTTTTTTGTTTTTGTTTTTTTTGTTGGGGGGGCGCTATTTTTTGACGTTGGTGGCGCCACTTACACCCCTATTATACTACTCGAAAATAGGCCACATACGTATCACCAAGTTTAAATCTTGGAACTAAAAATAAAATACCCAAAAAATACCAAAAACCTCTCTTTTCAGAAAAAAACTCGACATTTTGAAAATACACGTAGGCTCTTTATACCAACTTTTATAAAAATGTCATACTTCGTGACAATTTGTCAGTGACGATGCAGTAGGCTATTTCGATGATCTCTAAAAAAAAAAAAAAATAGATGCTGCGTTGTTTGAAAAGCGCCACCTACTGTCCGACACTGTCCATAAGTTTTAACAGTGTCCCTATGGCCATACAATAAACTGCCATAGACCCCAATGATAAATGCCCCCACTTCAGAAAGTCAGGAAAAATGCTCACAATTTTTAATACTCTCCATTGAGGTGTTCGAGACACACATGAAAATTAAAGCTTATTTTATCAACTTTCTTTGTCCTTTCAATTGTTGAGTGAGGGTAATCTGATGACTTTTGGGAGAAATTTCCTCCGAATGATTACCCCTTAAAATAGTCCCGAAGCCCATCGCCATTTTGAAAAACGATGCCTACACTCCTTTGCAAACTAGGGCGCTTTTAGGGCCTCAGTTTCATCCAAATTGTACAGAAATACAAGCTCAAGTTCCAGTGCACGGCTTCCACTCATAGTTTGTAGGAACCCTCAAGTTCGTGGACCACAATACGCTCAAATAATGAAGAATTTGAGGGCATGCAAATCCTGATTTGGCCGGCGTAGGCAATTTCGGACCGATTTACTGGCCTCCACCTAGACTGCCTCGCGGTGTAGCCTGAATATCAGACTCCATGAACTATGGACTCATATATTGGTAATATTGCGCATGCACATAAGTGCGATTATTATGTTATTTTAAGGACCATTATGGGAGAGGGACCTTTCACTTGCGAGTGATCAACCAATAAATAGGGGAAAAGAGTCCGATTTTCATTGGAGTCCGATTTTCATAATTATGACACCGGCCAAGCGACTTAGGCCCTATTTACAGGGCGGGGGTACGAGCGAAGCGCTATCATAAAGGATGCACATCGGTATCGTGAACAGCGCCCCTAGTGCAATGTGGTGTCCTGGTGTAGGGTTGTTTTTGTTTACATTTCAATATTGGTATTTTGAGAGTTAAGGATGAAAACTTGCTCTTCACATTATTTTGCACGAAAATAATGTCTGATCACAGGCCGATGAAGGATTGAAAAGTGAACGCAATACAGGCCTGATTTAAACTGTTTTTAAAAAATCTGTCAAAACATTTATCGTTTCCTTTTTAAAAAATGTCCGCACAATGCTAAAGTAGTAGTGGCGGAGTTGAGAATCCGTATCTGTCCCTGTCCAAAATACAAAGAATAGAAGTCAGGCGCGGATCCAGAGCAGGGGTCGAACCCCCCCCCCCCCCCCAATCCCGTCCCGCCAATCCCGCTCTGACACACACAGAATAATGTATAGGCTATACAATTATGAAAAATGATAAGATCGGATATAAACATCTAACGGGCCTGACCCCCCCCCCCCCAGTCCGCCAAAATTTCGAGATCCGCCCCTAATACCTGTTTCAGGCTACATAATAATAGTGTTCATTGTCGCGTAACGACAAGACATGTTTAGCACACGGCCTACGACTAATGAGGCTGCCGTATACAATTTTCCAAACAAAACAGTTGATTCATTATTGCCCGAAATATCGACTTCGATTCTGTTCGCCCATGGAACCAAAACAGATGCACACAGCAATGCTCCGGGTTTCTCCGCCCATTATTAAGACAAATTGTTTTTGAGGAGAATTCCAAGGAAGCCTGATGGCCGAGTGGTTAGATTCGTCGTCCACGAATCGCGGAGCCCGGTATCGAATCCCGTCGGTGTCTTTTGCTTTTCAACGCACGCGTTCTATTCAGTCATTGTAAGATATTTATAAGTATTTTCATGGAAAAAAAGATCCAAGTCTTTTGACTTTTGTTTGTTGTCGAAAAGTTGCAAAGAGACAGCTTTTGCCTCCGCCCAGCACTCAGCAGCAATGGATTTTTTTTCCGAAAGGACACGCAACCCGCACAGGCCCGCCAGTGGGATGTAATGATGTACATGCAAGTGCATGTACATGTACATGTACATGTACATGTACATGTATTGTTTTTTAATACTGCGTAACAAATCAGTTTTTTTATAAATCGAAATTAGGGGTGGGTGGGTGGGTCAAAATAATTTGGAAATAAAGTCGAAATTTTAAAACATTGAAAATTCTGAATGGCCCCTAAGAGTGTTTTTATTTTAGAGTGTATATGTATACCTTCGAGAGAGGACTATTGAGTACATGCACCCGGAACTGAAAAAAAGGATTTTTTTGCACTTGTATGACTTTGTGGACCTTGGGGGAATCCTTTTCCCCCAGGAGCATATAAAAAGGAGCATATAAAAAGTTAAAGAAGTGTACGTTCTTGTAAGCCATATAAATACCGGCCGGGAAGCTTAAGGGCCCCGCAAATGAACTTAATTAAATGCTCTTCCCAATAATCTACAGGTAGCTCCTATAGCGAAAGCAATTTCTCGAACCGCAACGTTTTCAGGTAAGGTTAATAATAGGGGTTGGGTGAGAACTCTGGACAGGCGGCGGGGAGATCGGACCAAATTATAGCACCCCTTCCCCCCTCCTCCCCCCCCCCCCCCCAGTCGGTCACTGGACCTGAGACATACTGACGTCGCGTTTTTCGCTTGGGGTTCTTGTATCCAGCTCCCGCAGGAAAGAGCATAATGTAAACAATGTGTAACGTTATTATGTCTCAAAAGTTATTTTGGGCTGGAAATGGCATAGGCTGGAATCGTACCCGTATTTCTCCGACAGCGCCCTCATTGCCGCCCCAGCCATTTTGACCATGCATGCGACGTACACTACTTGGGCGTCAGGTCAACTCGCCCCAGCCAACTCGCCCCTTACCAACTCGCCCCTTACCAACTCGCCCGTTGTCAACTCGCCCCTGACCAACTCGCCCCTTACAAACTTGCCCCCTAGCTGACTCACAGTCTCGCCAATCCCCTTCCCTAATTCCCAGGTAGGCGGGGGGGGGGGGGGGGGGGGGGGGGGAGGGGGGGAGGGGGAGGCTGCCTACCTGGCCCCTTGCCAACTCGCACTGTGGATAATATCATCATCAAAGGCTAGCGCAATTTAGTGCTTCATCCAGTTTTTGTGCACTTTGAGTATTAACATGTAGGTGTTGTTGTGACGGGATGCAGCAGTGGCGCACGTGGGGGGGGGGGGGGGGTGTTCAAGAGGTTGTCAATTTTTTTCTAGTCCCACGATTTTACCTTGGTGATATGTATGTGGCCTATAGTATAATAGGGGTGTAAATGGCGTCACTAACTTCAAAATAGTCCGCCCCCGAAAAAAAGAGACTCCAATTTTTTTTGTGGGGCCCAAAAATTGTGGGCAACAATTTTTGAACAAAAAAGTAGCCCCCCCCCCCCCACCAAATCCTGGGTGCGCCACTGGGATGCTGCCATGCTGGCTGTGCTTATGATAACTCTCAGCTAGGGGTCAGCAGCAGATCTTATATGTTCAGAGGGAATAATGGTCGATCATGTACGTGCTTCTTCTGTCCGGCATGGTACGGTTAATATATTTTTTTCATTTTTTTTTTTTACGCATGCGGGACATTCCACATGCGTCTGCTAATTGACTCCAATTAAAATACATGATAACATTCTAAGTTGAGAATTAAGGCTCCCGGCCGCAACATACACAATGATAAGCAACAGTAAGAGTGAAATTTAACAGGCAACAAAGTATGCTTTGTGATGAAAATGAATGACAAAATAAAGCCTTTTTGAAACTGCTTTTTTCAACTCGATTTTTACGTCAGGACACTTATAACCACTGTTTAAAAATTACGAAATGTGCGTGGGTACTTCAATGCTACTACCAAGGTTCAAACCAGCGCACACTCTTACATGGGGCAAGTTGGTAAGGGGCGAGTTGGCATGGGGCAAGTTGACATGGGGCAAGTTGGTAAAGGGCCAGTTTGTGAGGGGCGAGTTGGCAAGGGGCGAGTTGGTAAGGGGCGAGTCGGAGCGGTGCGTACGATCCGGGCATATGCAGCTGACGATCCGACCCATCAATCATTAATTTGCCGCATTGTCGACCTGCAGTGCAGCTCGCGCGCGGTACGGTACGCGAATTCAACGTGCTGCTTTCTCCGAATCGAATGGCTGGTTGTATCATCATCCATGTCATCTATCGACCGACTTCAACCTCATAAACCTGACGTTACTTTCTTCGGTGAAGTTGTGCCAACAAAACACCCGACAAAATGTTGAACATTCAAGAAGAATTCGACGAGTGTGAAAGAAAAGGGACATGGAGGATGGAATTTCAGGTTTGTATTTATAAATCTACTTTGTTGGAACTTAGAACTTTTTGGAAGGAGCGTAGCGTGCGCGTGCGTCATGTTCGTGATATGCTTTATTCCTTCATTTCCGACACTTTCTACTGGCCCGGTTCCTGATCGAGTATAGTCGTGTTCAATTCCCTAACGTGGCGCACTTCGAAGCTTACCCAACTTTCCTCGTGTAGTGTTGCCAAACCTCTTTGTTGATAAACCTCAAATTCATGCAGTGAAATACTGGTACTTTTACCTTTTTAATGCTTGCTATTTAACCTCTGTGAACAATTTCGGTTTCATAAAATTTAATCCGAAATGCAAAAAACGGTCGCGTCCGGAAATTGGGCACAAATTGGCGGAGTGTTCCCTAACGTGGCACACTTGAATAAATCTCAGAAAATTCCAAATTAACATTTAAGAATTTCTGTAAACTTGATAAATTCTGATAAATCATTATTATCTTTACTTACAAACCCAGCCAGATGTTTGTCAGAAAATTATTTTCTTATTTTTCGGGGCATTTTCAAAGGGTTCACTTGCACTTGAAAATAAAAACGGAAACTCATGCCAAAATAATTTTTTCTTTTAACTTTGTAACGGGTAAATAAACTCGCGATTTATGAACGGGAGTGTTTAGAACATGATGAAATTTCACTTTCTCTGTGAAATTTCAGTTAAAACTTTTGCTCTAGCTAGGCCTAGGCGCTACAGCCGCGAAAAATCAAAGTGCGCCACGTTAGGGGCCGCGCCACGTTAGGGTACATCAACAATATAGGGAACAAAACCCACTTTTAAATTATTTTATCTAAAACTAGTTGGCAACATTGAGAACATGCAACTTGCAAGTAATGTACATGTATGTCATAGATAAAGGGTAGGGGTTGTGAAGTTTTGAGGGAAATTTGGGGGTAAAAATGACACTTGACAGTGATTCACAACGACATTTTTTGGGTATATTTTAGGCAGTGGATATTTAGCCGGAGACGGCAAACCTTTAGTAAACGTTAGCTTGCCGGATATGCACTGAACATGCGCAGTTACTGTTTTTTGTACTTGGACATTTTCCGGTGACAAATTTTAGTCTGGCTCCATGCCAACATTATTGTTGTAACTTCGCATTCACAAGATGGGAATCAGACCATTTTACAATTTTGGACTTTATCTTCCTTTAAAAAAAATCCTCCAGAGCCACAAATCTGTAAAAGAAAATGTAATAGGCCTACTCTGCAATAAAATGTTTGAGACATGTTAAAATAATAAAAGAAGAATATTCTTATTTTTTGGGGAATGGGAAAAAAAACCTTAAAAATTACGCTAGCTGCCGGGATTGAACCCGGATCTTCCCGCTCATGAAATGCGGTTTATCCAGGTGCTACACAACCGTTGGTGGTAATTTAATATATCTTATAAATCGGCCCTATCTTAGAGAGTACAGCGCCCTCAGTTGATAGGGATTGCTGCCGGCAATATATCCACTATCTATATGTTAATTTTTTATATTTTTTTGAAAAGTATATTTTGGGGTTGGGTTTCTCCAGCTAGCACATAAATAACTGATAATAATCATAATTTATAATGTAAATGTGCAACGCCATGTTTTCTTTAATTACATAGTCAACGCAAAGACTAATAACATAAAATATATTGTGGGTATTCTCCTTGCAGATGCCCAACAGTTGAAAAAGAAACACTGAAATCCATGGATTCTTGGACAAGTTTGCCCTATGGTGTTCTGGTATACACCGAAAAAGCAGTGTCTGTAAAAAGCAAATCTAAAATGTGTAAAGGCAGTGTAAGGGCAGTTTTATCAGTTGTAAAAAGAAAATCCCGTAAACACCCGGAGAGTATTTCCTCTTGTCTCATATATGATGTAAGAGAATCCTCAGTGTGCATGGCAAGGATCATCCGACATTGGTTCATACTTCACGTGAAAGTAAAAGCATAATGACGTCAATAACTGTAGTTTGTTTCATTTCGACATTTGCCATGACTCTTACAAAACTCCAGACTTTGAAGTATTAACTGGTCGTAATGCAGTTTAAGTTAACCAAGTTGCTTGTTATCTACAATATCTGACTGTCCAACTATCTGTCCATTTGTTGTGGTGAAAGCTTTTCCTGGAAGGCATTTTGTGTAATCCTTTGCACAGGACAGTGTGGTGGCCTGCATCCTCTACCTCTGATTGCGCATGTGTTTTCATTCCATGGATTTGTCCTTTCACTTCCTTTGTTTGTGTGGTTTTGTATTGTTTGGGACACATTGTGCATAATATGAATTACAAAAGGGGTTTCTTAAATATGAAATTTAAAAAATAAACATTGACAATCATGTGTATGTAGAATCCTGCAAAGCACTGTAGATTAAAGGTACAATGTAGACAGTGAAAAACAAAATAATACAGTGCTCTCACCAGAAGTGGAGCCGAGCATTTGGTGCGATGCGCCTTCGTCAGGGCAGTTATACTATAGGCAGTTATGTACATGGGAATGTGTAATGCATACAATTGTGATAATAACATCCTTTTTTTCAAATGGCAGTCAAATATTACAATACTCCATACATGTCCATAATGTAAACAAATGGTTGTTTGTCATTGAGGCTAAACAGAGGAAGCTGAATGTTCAAATGCTGTTCAAGCAGGAAGAGGGGTGGTTGGGTTTAATCCTTCAGAGATGTACAATACATTGTACGTACCAGTACATGTACGGTACATGCATACAATGTACATGGTGGTTGAATGGTTCAGGCATCAGGTAACAACGCTAATTTAGCCCTAACCCATCAGGTTTTCTTCAGGAACCCTTTGCTAAATGTAGCCTTCGATGCAATTGCAAGGCTGTGTGTGTGTGTGCTGTATCAGCATCTGGGCATTGCTGGCCATGGCTTACCGGGCTGCACGTCCACACAAACGGCAAACCCCGATCTGTCGTACATGTACAACGAAGCCCACAGTGCATGCACACACGAAGTTCTGCCCATTGGGAGCCACAGCCGGTGTTGGGGGGGGGGGGGGGGGATCTCACGTCCCCATAAAAAATTGCGCCTCCAGTCGCGCCCCCCCCCCCCACTAAAAATTTGGCATCAGGAAAAGCACAGCATTATGACTTTATGAGTTACCATGATTAGCTGAAAGAACATAAAGTCCCCTTTTCCCGTGATTATGTGCATATTTTTCACGAAAACTCTGTTTTTTGGTGAGTGGCCGTTTATTTTTTACGTCCCTTGGAAAGCAAATATTTTTGTCTAATTTTTGGGCGCCCTCCATTGTAACCTCAAGCCCCTGCCCCCCATGCCTCCCCCCCTCCTGCGCCCCCTTCCCACACCCCTCCCCCCAGGATGAAAATCCTGGCTACGCCGCTGATGCATGCTTGCATGCATTGGGCATACATGCAACATTCATGTTGTGTCCAGAAGTTGGAAAAAAAATATTAAAACGTCACGACAGCCAAATTTCTGACAATAAGCATTGTGTACCATTGATAAATAAAAGTTCAAAAGTGTCCCAATAAATGCCCAGGACTTTTTATGGCCATCTACATTTGACATTAATCAATTGAGTATGCATTCAATAACACGCACCTGCACCATTTCCAAGAAGGATTGACTTTCCATTACCTGAATAATCTTGGAAATGGTAAAGAGTTCAGAAGATTAACGCGCATGCATTGTACAATCTACTGTGCTGCGTACTTGGTGACATTTACCTAAAGTAGTTTGAACCACGGTGTTATACGCTGTAATTGAATTGTAGAGAAAGACTCGACATTTCTTTTCTCTTTGGTTGAATAGAAAAAGAAACATTGGTTGGAAAGGTGCCAGTGGAAAAGTGCCCACTCAAAAGAAAATTTAAACAAAGCTAAGGCTAGGGAAAAAACTGTTTGCTAATAATTGCATGTACGCTGAAAAATCATTTCTTTTTTTTTTTTGCTCTAAATTTTTATACAAGTAGCAAGAAAAGTAGGATGAGATAATGGTCAATTAATTAAATGGGCAATTCCACGGTTACTCACGTTACATTTTGATGTACTTTTGAGTTTCCTTGGGCTGTAATTACCTTACTGAAAAGGTTTTATAACTGTTATCCCCATGGTAGATAGAGTAGACCTAGACCTACCTAAGCACCAAAGATGACATCCAAAAAATTTGTTATTTATGATAAACAAGATGCACAAAATCGGTTACTCACGTTACGAAAACGTGAGTAACCGATTTTGTGCGTCTTGTTTATCATGCGTAACACACTTTTTTGGATGGCATCTATCTTTGGTGCTTGGGTAGGTCTAGGTCTACTCTATCTACCATGGGGATAACAGTTATTAAACCTTTTCAGTAAGGTAATTACAGCCCAAGGAAACTCAAAAGTACATCAAAAATGTAACGTGAGTAACCGTGGAATTGCCCAAATGCATTTTTTTTTGTGCATGCATTCGTAACAGTTAGCATGTGAATGTTCATTCTGCATTTGCTGCACTGCTTAGGCTTTGCTGCTTGGTGCGGCAAGACCGCACTGCCGACCAACTTAAAAATAAAAAAAAAAAATGAAAATGAAAATTAAAAAAAAGTGCAGGCGAACGGTGTGATTGTGCACAGTTTATTGGAGTTACATGTACAAATATAAGAACTGTTTCAGATTAGGCCTGCCAAGTAGAAGATTATTTTCTACTTGAGTACTCGCAGAGAAATTACTCACGAGTAGTCAGGTACTCACGAGCAGTTTACTAACTTCCCATAAAAACGGCATTTATAAACATTACTAAGAAGGAAGTTACCGTGGATAAACAGCGTGCAATACACACCACATTCTTCAGCACTGAGACATCCTTACTGTGCAAAATGTCGGCTCATTTTACTTCAAAATTTATTTGTCGAGAGTGCTAGTGGAATCCCAAGGAAACAGATGGAGGTTGCGGGGGACGTATTAAAGCTATAGCCCATCATTTGCAGCCGTCCGGAAAAGTAACTGGCATATTATTGTTGAAAAACATACTTGGTTG